GGAACAAAGGTCTCCCGTTTCACAGTGTAAGGGTATAGAGTACAAACCGATGCAGTGGTGTTCACTTTAATGGAATGTGAGAGCTACTATTTCAATGTAAACGAGTCGGGGAAGCGATTTGCCAGAAAAGTGAAACAATGCCAAACTCATGCACCCGGACTTGAACCTGCACCCTGCTCATCACGAGCAATGCTCTAGCCATCTGAATTTAATCATAATTCATAGGTTTATGTTCAGCGAACGGAAGTTCACGTTATCAGTATTGTGCTGTCTCACTGTCAGCTACACTCAGTACTACTACTCACGTAGAAGTGGGAAATCCACTGGCGGAATGGTGCTGGTTTTTCCCTCTGGGCATGAAAACAGTAGAGGATAAGCACAGATGGAGAATAGCTCGCCAGAGGAAGTTGAAATTCTTTCCTTTTTAAAATGCTGGTAAAGGACGTACTAGAATCCTAAACTTGAATTCGGACAGTGAGCCAATGTAATCATTGATAAGAGGGAAGAACGACATTTTACAATATGAGCTAAGACATTTTCATTAGTGGTGAAACGAATATCAAAACCTACTAGCCGAATATTCTTCGGCTTAACGAACGAATGAACGAATATTCTTTTGGTAACAGAGATGACATCACATGCCCTCCTCCCAGTCATTTGATGGATACTGTCATTACTATTAGGTATGACAAACGGTAGTGCCACATAAAACGTACTGCTACATAAGGCTACTTCGAAGTTCATACATGTTATGTGCACCATTGGCAGTCCAGTATGGACGTACATGTGCATGCATACAGTACAAAGTCACAGGCGGGCTGTACGCACTGCACTGTACCGTGTTCGGCGTGCATGTATGTACAGGCACTGCATTTGAAGTGACGTAACGAATACTCGAATGTGACTTAACGAATTTTCGAATGTGACAAACCGAACGAATGTTCGAATATTCGAATATTCGTTTCACCACTAATTTTCATCTTTATGACTAAATGTCCACCAAAGGAACAAGATCATACAAAGTCAGAGAGTCTGACAACAAGGTACAAAACTGACAGGGAGTACTGAGACATTCAACGATGTGACACCTAGCTCCAGCACCTTTACGAGATAAGCGATGCCCTAGTTGCAATCCCTGGCTACTCTATTCTTAGATCTGAAAGGACTAGCCAGCAAGACGGCGGAATATGTTTTTATGTCAGCCACTCTTCTACTCAGCCTCTTTTGCAATACAAAATGGCCGCATAGTATGCAGCCACCGTTTTGCTTCACTCTATTTCTTGCGCTTACGGTTTTCTTCTTTCAGCACTATTTCACGCACTTACCTAGGGTACCCTGTAAAAAGACTTACAGGCTGTGGAGATTTCCCTAGTAAAATAAAAAAACACTACTACTACCGAAGCCTCTTAGCCTCTTAGTAGTGGTACCGTAAAGTACCGCCAGAGCGCCCCACCATCTCATCCCTTCGTGGTCGTATTGTGCAGGTGGTCTGCTGTCTGTAGGTCATACAACATGAACCTTGTACACATATTCCACGTTTTGCAGTCAATCCGTACCTTCAAGCGGACACAAGCTCCACACAAAAAACTGCCAAGTGTGACCTTAGTACACTAAGATTCTCACATTGTACACACTTCGTTGCACTCTGCCATATGATTTTCCTTTCTCTGGCTGTAAAATCAAGGTGGGGCGCTCTTGCGAGACGGGGCGCTCTGGCGGTAATTACCGGTAGTAGTACCTGTTTGACTAAGAAAGTGGTGGACACCACGCAACTGCATTATAAAAAAGGGGGTTTGTCAACTGACAACCGCTCTATTCAGTTGCTATTAACACTTGGCGCATGCGGTGGATGAAAAATTCTTTATACGTGATGTCGAAAACGTTATGACGTTTCCGGCCAGTCACCCATCGTCAGAACCTCTGTTTGAACTCAGGAAAAATTGACCCTTTGTACTGAGCAGAGTTTGTTTATAGCGAACCATATGTTGTAATGCCACACTAATACATATACTGTCACAGGTCAAATACCAGTCATGATTATGTTGCTAGAAGGTGTAAGTGCAGTGCATTCATGTTATAAAGAACTTCAGCTTCGAATTAAGTTTCCTGTGGAATGGTGTTCTTTATTTGTACATGTTAATTTGAAGCAGGAATGTGTTTTTTAATGTGTTTTTTAATGTGTTTTTTAATGTGTTTTTTAACCCCTACTCTCCAGAAAGCACAATACTGCACGAGTTCTGGCACACACGTACTGTAAAAGCAGAAATTTTCGGTGGTGTAATATTTTCGGTATTCGTCAAAATCGGCGGTTCGGTAGCGGGAAATTTTCGGTAAAACCCGTTCTCCAGGTAGGTGTACTAGTACTACATGTATACAGTATCGGTTGTACCGAAAATTTCGGTGCGTTTTATTTTCGGTAAAAATTGTCGGCACCGAAGTTACCGAAAATAAAACACCACCGAAAATTTCTGCTTTTACAGTATGTTGGCCAATGGTATTTATGGAATATTTTTATGAAGCATGCCTACCCTTCTTACCTATTGTTGGAGGCTCTTCTTGCGTGACAGTAACATTGAACGAGTGGAGCACTGTTTGCTCCACGTGAGAGTAAGTGGTATGCTGATTGAGATAGTTCACTGTTAAGTGATAGGTGCCAGATGTACGGCTTTCCTCCGGGTAAAGGAAACACACATAGGCCACATCTTGCTGCGATGTAGCATTCCTGAACAGATACAGCTTAACCGACTGGTCACCATTGGAAATGAGAGCTTGGTTTTTCAATAGACGTATCACTCTATCCTTGACGGGAACCTGTTTACCGCGGGATACTGTAATTGTAAATCTCGCACACTCGAGGAGTCTCTCAGAATAAAGTTTGACAGAACTGTATCCTTTTATGGTTGCATTCACATCAAGACCTTTGATGGTAGAGGTCTTCCAAGCATTGATAGTGGCAACCGCTTCTGCAGAATACAGGTTACGCAGCAACAATCACATAAATTGATAAAATTGCAAACAACAGTACCAGATGCATCAACATTATCACGAATGTTTTATTGGATAACGAACAGAAAGATGATGAACCATAGATATTATGAACAAGAGAAGGACTAAACCAGAGAAAGGGATGCATATAACTGAGCAAGGACAAAAGAGAACTTCGAACTAGTTTTAGCATAACGCTCCTTGGGAATGGTTCGTTACACTAATGGATGCAATGGCAAATTACTACTATTGAAGAAAAGTATAGAGCGATATGTACACTACCAACATGCCCTAGCAGAATTACAGCATGGCAGTTTTGGACATATTTCCCGTTAATGTTATCTCCCCCATTTCATTTTTGTTGCACTGAGCCTTCCCTTGTCTGTTGAATATGTGCTAACGCCACAACGTCGCCGTGTTCATAATCTGTCAGGTGAGCACTGGTGGCTATGAAAGCACTGTTCAAAGCTACCGTATTTCCCCGTTTGTAAGTCGCACCCCCATTTCCGGATCCATGTCACATCGTTTCAATATAATTATTCACTTCAGTAGTAAATCATGCACTAATGTAAGTCACCCCCCCCCCCCCCTTTGTTGGCCCTGATGTTAGGTGTACAAAGGTTCCACTTATATTCGGGGAAATACGGTACAACATGTCACTATATGCACAGTGCTGACGACAGCTTGTACTCAGTATGAAGTGTGTGCTACGCCAGCAAGAAGGGAATAGCGGTTTTTGATGGGCTGAAAATCGCCCCTCCGTATTACCATGGGAAATATGCGCACAGCAAGCATTAAATCATAACAAATGTCTACTTTTAGAAAAGAAAAGGACCAAGGAACTACAATAATACAACTGATCTTCGCATTTTTGAGCCACACAAGTTGTGTGGAATGTTGCTTTGCATCCTAGAATCGTGATTTGACCATATTGTCAATGGTCTTTCCAGTATCGTCATCGACATGCATGTACATCTGCCGACGTCCTTTACAGCTGAGACTTTCAGCTCGTGCTTTTCTTGGTTGCGCTCACCCTCCCCTCCTATGTTATCATATAACTTAGAACTTTCCAAGTCGGAAGGCTGTTGGAGTGCGCATCCAAGATGTGCTAGCCAGTTAGTTGTAGAACGCCAGTACCGTCGGTAAGTGTCATGCAATATTGCACGAGCTGATTGTTTAGTAACTGGTGGTGTTATTCGACTTTAGGCCAAGTAAAAAAACTGATTGTTCATCGTCAGCGCCCGCCCTATAATTTTCGCCCTCCCGGCCGAATTATTTGACTTTTTAATTCCGCTAAATATACGGTATGTGCTGCGATCTAAGCCTATGGCGGCCTCTAATCAGCGTGACTTTAGATCTTGGAAGGCCAAGCCTGCAGGTTGAACCATACATGTAGGTGCTACAGGCTGAATAGTGAAAGAGATTATCAGCTGCCTGCTTTTCTTTGTTGTTCTACGTTGGTTGTTTCACTTTTCCTTATTTGCATCCTCAAAATATATTGCATGATGTTATTCGTGGGTAACGACTCATTTGCATCACATAGATTTACCTCACTCTGTGCAGAATGGCTTCAAAAAGAATAATTATGTGAAGGAAAAGGCATGTCTAGGGGTTGCCAACACCTACCATACAGCAATATATGCAAAAATAAAAAATAAAATACCTCCCGTCCGCCCCGATTTCTCGGGAAAATCTGACGATAAATAATCAATATATTTTACATGGCCTAGGCCAAGTAAAAATAATAATTATTGATTGTTGATCGTCAGCGCCCGCCCCGATTTTTCAGTCCGTCCCGGGATTTATTTTATTTTTTATTTCCGTGATCAACGGTAGAAAACTCGTGTGTTTAGCGAAATCTGAACTTTTTTTAGCAGTACGAGCGTATGCGAGCTCTCATGTACAACTTCAACGTGCTTTTACCGTAGCGACATCACGCAGTGCAGTGTGATTCAAGTGTAGTTGTGTGAAATCTGGCAACTACAATACATGGCACTGTAGTCTGTACAGTGTACCACCTGATATCTACGCCTGCATTCATGGAAACTGCGCAGCCACCGCGTATCACAGAGTAATCTGCACATGTTCAAAGTGTGCCCAGGCAGACTGGTAGCAGTCACAACCAACAATGGTACTAGTAGTACGCCCATATCCCCATAGATGTAATACATTCTAAGATTTCAAAATGTCCGGTTGATGTAGATATAAAAAAAGTTATAAAATAAAAATACAACCCTCCCGTCCGCCCCGATTTTTCGGAAAATTCTGACGATCAACAATCTTCTTTTTTTACTTGGCCTTACCAAGAGTACATAACCCCCAAGAGTGTGCAACTGGATGCACAACCTCTATGCTGTGCTGCGACGACAGAACTTCACATCAAGTGACATGGTTCAAACGGTTACGCTGGCAAACAGTGCAAAGTTACCACAAGAGAGTTGAGCCCGGAGCTGGTTTGCATACAACCCTGTATCTATCATGCACAGAGTGCAAAAAATGTGTACGGGTTCATCACGTGAAGTTCTGCAGTCGCAGACCCCATAGCTGGAGTTGCACACTCTTGGGGGTTATGTACTCTTTGGTGTGACGTAGTGCCCCCTGTGTAAGTAGATACTGCATTAGTACCGGTATTACTGATAACATGCACACATACACACACACACACACACACACACACACACACACCTACACACGCACGCACACACACGTGCACACACATACACACACACGCACATGCACACGCACATGCACACGTACACGCACACACACACACACACACACACACACACACACACACACACACACACACACACACACACACACACACACAAGGCTAAAAACCATACCTGGTCTTGTGATGTTTCTTATTTTGTACCAGAACACTGGGATGTCACCAAATGGCCGCCTCAGGATGAAAACATTGGTAGTTCCCAAGTCCATGGACTCAAAAGTGTCAGCAGAGTATGGTCCGTATACACCACGACCATAATCCGTTAGCTTTGCACACCAACTCTGTGATGCTGTGCCGTCTAAGTTCATCAACATCTGCAATGGCGTTTGAGTTATTTGCAGCTGCTTAAGTCCATAGGTGCATTCTGGTAGGTCACTGACACAATCTGGATTGTGGGGTGAATTTGGTGACACTGTCTCGTAAGCGAACAGTTGAGGAAGATAAGTATGGCGTAGCGCAACCAGTCGATATACACCATGGGTTGACACTGGATGAACAACAAGCAACAGAATCTGATATTGTGCATGATTAAATCAACATGAATTCCTTGTGCCATACTCTCAATTCTGCTTGGATTGTGCTGCACATTGCGTATCACACGGTTGCGAAACACATTTCAGATGCTTGTACCGAAAAGTACTGTGGATCAAGGATACTACAGTGCTGACAACTGAAATCCGACCACTGAGCGGTGCGCTCACGTCGCAAACACCCAACACGGGATTGTAAGTAACACTTACGAAATAGAAGGGAGGTTCTGCTCTACGTTTTGGGAACGCGACGCAAAGAATCACGCGAACTTTCTTCGCGTTCCCGTAACGTAAAGAAATGCTGTTCTGCTCTACGTTTCACCTAGAGAAGTCACGTGGAATGTGTACTGGGATTTTCCCCTTCCATATTTGGCAGTTTTCTGCATGCAATTGATCGATACCCAGCAAATCCGTACGCATTTTCTCTGCGTGTGCCACAACGTAGAGAACCCCATCTCCGCGTAGAAATCTGGAGCCAAAACACGCGAAGCCGTAGACTCTAACCCAGACACCTGGTCTCTACGTGATTTCTCTACGTTTCACGTACAGCAGAACCTCCCTAGAGACCGCTAGAATGTGAACACACTGCTCAGGGGTCGGATTTCAGTTGCCAGCACTGCAGTATTCGACACGGGAAGCCTACAATGTAGGAGCAATAGAGAAAGGTCGACAGTGCTCGGACAGACATGTATCATCAGTGAACACTTAAGCTGCATTTACACGAGGCGCTTCAATCCGAATTGGAGCTCGACCCGGGTCGAGTTTCAACCCGCCATGAACACAGATTGACTGGCGCTTTTACATGATGCCGGACTCGGGTTGAAATTTCAATCTTCTCCAAGGAGAGGTTTGAAATGAATAAATCATATTACGGTACTTCAGTGCATATCTCGCGCCAATTTAGTGCACACGCAAATGTTTCACGAAAGCAATCACGTGACCATACAGGACCCTAAAAGTGCACTTTTATCAGCATAATTGTCAGTAATTGACGGTCAGACCCGGGTTAACACTCTTCATGTAAACACCCACCTATTTTTCCGCCATACAGACTTTCAACCCGGGTTTACAATTCGCATGTAAACACAGCCTAGTGTTATCTACATTGTACGTATACACATGGACGACCTTCTTGTCCTTATCCGCTAAAGTACTATTGCTTACCAGGCTGTTTGTCTTGGCGCCATGACTGGATATCTGCGTATGACGACAACGCTGGGTCACACGCCTGTGATGGAGCGAAGTCACCTTGCACGAATCCTAGCACCACCAGCAGCAGCAATCCTGTGACAAGTTTAAACAGTGCAGCGTTCTTCGCACCCTGGCGTACACGTGGACATCTTGGTCCTAGCTCCATTTCCAAAGATACTTGATCTCTTCCGTCTCGACAGTCGCCGAAAGGATGCTGTTGTCAACTCTATTGTTCTATTGTTCAGATGAGCAGTCCCCATTTATACCACCATGACTTGGGAGTTGGGACGGGCAGCAGCGGGGCATTGGGTGACGTCATGACTTGGGGGTCATGTACTATACTATATAGTACAGTGCTTGCATGTTTGTACTGAATTTCGCCTTCGGGAAATTCTTCGCAACAGGGAGTAGTACAATACCGTATTGTACATGATTGCACTACTCCCTGCTTCGCAACATACGGCGGTGTTTACATGAGGCGTTTCAACCCAGGTTGAGTTCGACCCGGGTCAGATTTCAACCCGCCATGTGCATGAAATCAAGAGTACATAACCCCCAAGAGTGTGCAACGCCGATCCAGCTCTGCATAGGGTCTTGGTCGAGCGGAATCGGATCTTCTGATGTCATGTGTACACTCCACACCAGCGCAAGGCCGGTCTCGAGGCAGGGCACCATTGTTTTTGATCCGAGAGTACCCGCGACTCCCCGGGTTCCCCTCAGATGTGTACGGTATTATGACGCAAAGATCCGATTCCGCTCGACCAAAACCCTATGCAGAGCTGGATCAGGCGTTGCACACTCTGGGGGGGGGGGGGTTATGTACGAGTACTCTTGATAAAATGAATTGCGCGTTTACATGACGCATTGCGCTTGACCCGGGTTGAAATTTCGCCCCTTGTTGATTTCAACCCGGGTCAAGAAAATCGTACAAACGTACTTATGTGCGTATAGACCTTATTCGATAAACGTCACAATCACGTGAACCGGGGTCCCGGGAACCAGGGAGTGGCAAGAGATCTGCGCTCAGTGCACAGTGGACTCGCCGATTTTCTGATTGCGTTTCCATGTCGACTGCAGGTGATGACGCACATTCTGCTTAGCTCCGTGAGAGAGAAGGTCGATCACTGCAGAATTGTGTCAATTTCAGTTGTCTTATTGTATTCATGAAGTGAAAGAAGTGCTGTGTTCAATGCTGTCAGTGCCGTGAACTGTTTATTAGTAGTCCTCTCCGTTGTGTACTGGGACGTGACACCGACAGGAGAAAGCTGGAGAGCGGAGACGTTAGCTGGCAAGCGAAAATCGTGACGAACCAAGTGCTGAAATCTTGGTTGGGACAATCTTAATTAATAATTGTGTGTTGCTCATGAGCAGCTCAAGTACTTAGCATGGTTTTGGACATGTCCTCAGTTGAAACCAACTTCCCCAAGCGTTCTCTGAGGTATTGCAGTTAACCAATGAGAATAACCGGAAAACAAGGGGGACTTTAGATACCGGGCTGACTTAACAAGAAGCAGGATAAGCGCGTTACGGGTTGAGCTTGTCGAAAACCAATTGTACTTCATTATGTGTGAAGGGGATTTATGAAGAAATATTATGAACCGGTGTACAGAGATGGTGCTTATGACGAAAGGAGAGAGGAGAAGTGTGTGAAAGTCGATAAAGGGCATCCGAAGGAAAACATTGATCCTTAGACCTTGTAAAGAATTTTTAAAAGTATAAATCTATGGTTGAAACCTACTTCCCCAAGCGTTCTCTGAGGGGACCGAGGTCTACTCTAGGCCTTGACAGATTATGCTAATATTTTCGTGAAATTATGCTTTTCGCATTGCTGAAAAAATTCCCGAACTTTGCTATTTTTATGCTAAAAGTTATCATATTATGCCGCCTTAAAAATAGCATAATTCGGGAAGTAACACTCAAACCAGTAGCTGTCCAGTCGCTAGACGGCGTTTCAGATCATTTCCTGGTGTCGCTCATCCTTGCACTCGCTGGCAGTCAACCGCACCGTGTCTTGCTCAATCACCGCAAGATTCGCTCGCCGCCGGTCAGACAAATTACTGCTGAGGAGTTTGGCCCGGACTTCCTTCAATCTCTCAGAGCCGCGGACTGCAGTGACATGTCAGTAGACCAACTTAGCACTGTATGGAGCGATGCTGTTCTACAAACTGTTGATCAGCACTGCCCTCGACGTAGCGTCACCTTGTCATCTCATCCACCACCACAACCCTGGGTCACGCCTGGCCTCCAAAGTTTATATCAGCGGGAAGCGTACTTACACAGCCGGTGGCTCCGGGATCGCGACAGTGACAGTGCTCGCCAATGTTTCCGAGCTGCCCGACGAGAGTGTCAAATTCTACAGCGCAGACTGCAAACTGAGTACTTCACCAACAGATTTTTCTTGAGTCGGTTCAACCCTCGACCTCAGTGGCAGGTACTGAACCACCTCTTAGGTCGGAAGCAACAACCGACGACTCTACCTGTAGACGTTCCGGCCCTAAGTGCAGTATTTGCGGCTCAAGTTAGCGATCCTACACTGAACACTGGGTCACAGTTACCCCTAGGCCCCAGCAAAGCAACTGGATTCACTACATTTCGGCCAGTGTCCCCGACTGACGTGGAACGACGGTTATGCAAGCTAGACGAATGGAAAGCCACCGGCTCTGACGACATTCCTGCTTCACTTCTGCGTGCGTCCTCCAAGTATCTAGCTGCATCCTTGGCGGAAATCTTTAACAACTCCCTAGCCACTGGCGTATTCCCCGAACAATACAAGCTTGCCCAAATCTGTCCAGTTTTCAAGAAAGGTGATAAACACGCTCCCATAAACTATAGACCAATCTCCCTTCTTCCCATCGTTTCCAAAGTCCTAGAAAGAATCGTCTACGACCAGTTCCGGCAGTTCATGGTCTCTGCAGGTGACGTTATACCTGACGAACAGTTCGCCTATCGCTCCTGTCATTCGTGCGGTGACGCACTGGCGCTATGCATTGACAGTTGGCAGCGGTCCCTGGACTCTGGCAACGTGGTTGCTGTAGCATTCCTCGACCTCAGCAAAGCCTTTGACTGTGTCCTGCATGGCGAGCTCCTTCTGGAGCTGCAGCGCTGTGGAGTACGAGGCACTGTTCTGCAATGGTTCTCCAGCTATCTGTCCAGCCGACCACAGCAAGTGAAATGCCTCCGTCAACCACCTGGAACCCCGTACACGGCCAATCGCGGTGTCCCTCAGGGCTCTGTCCTGGGACCGGCACTGTTCACGGTGTACACCAGGCGCCTACCAGCCTGCCTACAGTCATCCCTCTCACTCCTGTATGCAGATGACACCAACATCTACGCTGCCGACCCGTCCCCTTCCACTGCCACACAGACCTTGGAACATGATCTGACCCGTGTGAGCAGCTTTCTGGAGGCCCGTGGACTACAGCTGAACCCATCCAAGACGCAATTCCTGCTGCTACGGAAACCCAATGTACATGCAGACTGTGCCCTACAGTTTTGCAACAGCCGTATACAGCAATCGCAGCAAGCCAAGTACCTGGGCATCATCATAGATGAGCATCTGTCGTTTCAACAGCAAGTAAGTAACATTAGAAGTAAAGTCAATGCCAAGGTCAATGCATTTCGCCGTTGCCGCCACCTTCTCAGTGCTAGAGCCAAGCGAACGTTCTATCTTGCATTTGTCCAATCTACCCTGGAGTACGCGAGCAATGCGTACGTGCACTGCCTGCGACAGACCACCTATAACGCTCTTATTAGCATCGCGAATCGGGCGATCCGCACTGTCTTTGGCTCCCCACCCCCCCCCCCCCCTCTGCCTCCATCCAACCCATCTTAGCTAGACAGCACCTAACACCGTTAAATATTCGCTTTGCTGCCAACCTCTATGTGTTTCTACATAGATGCATAAATGCTCGTGCTAGTCCCCTACTTTGCCGACTTTT